CGGAAAGAAAGGAAAAATGTTTGCGATGGTCGATGATAGTGGCACTTGGTGGTACTCTGAAGGTTGGTGTGATGATCAACCAGCTGCGGAAGAGGCGAGTGCTGAACCTGATGGCCAGCAAAAGCAAGATGTGCTTGTTTTGAGTGCTTTGGTTTCTTGTCCCGATGTGCCATGTTTGCCTTGTGAACCTTGCGTGTTTGACATGAGCTTGGAAGATGATGACGGTTTGTATGTTGAAGATCACTTTGAGGGGTTTGACTTGCGTTTGAACCGTGATTTGATTTGTTGTTGCCTGAATTCCAACTCTCATGACATGCATGACTTCTTGGACAGGTGGCTTGATTGTAGTGATCTTGGTGCATGGACATTTGAAGCATGTTGTTTTGACTTGAACTTGCTTGCATGGATGTTTGACGCATGTTGTCATGACTTGAACTTGCCTGCATGGACGTTTGAAGCATGTCGACTTGATTTGAACCCGTTTGTGCATGTTGGGGTTGATTCTGTTTGTGAACTTGACCCTATGGATGAGAAAAATGAGCCCAATGCGCGCGGCACACATGGTGTGCTGAAAGCACGAGAGTCGATGACTGAGTGTTTCGAGACTGAAGGGCACATGGTGTCAAAACCATGTGAGATGATGCTGAATGGCATCGGTCCGGGTGAGTCTTTTTGGCTTCTGGATAGTGGTGCTAGCATGTCTGTTGTTAGCCGAGATGTTTTGAAACAGTTTCAACACTCCGAAATCCAAAACAATGTAGGGCCGTTGCAAGCTGCTAATGGAACTTCAGTTGATTTGGAAGGTAGTTGTAAATTGCTGTTGCAGATTGAGGTTTTGGACAGAGACGGAAACGTGAAACCAGCTGTGATTCCTTTGGACGTCATGGTAGGGAGAACGACATATCCTATTATCTCTGTTTGCAAGTTGACACAACAGGGTTGGGACGTGACTTTTGACCAAGACCATGTTAGGATGGTTCATAGGAAATCCCAACATGAGGTTCGTGATTTGACTTTTTGGCATGACACACCATGGGTTCGTGTTGTTCCATATGAAGGTAATGATGTAGCCCTCAATGTTTCTCCGGTGGTTGCGGATAGTTTTCCAAAGGGGGACACAGTTTGTGCCTTGAGCGCAGACCAGATGGTGCAGCACAGACTCAGAGGACATCGTCCCTATGAGCCGACTTGCGAGGTTTGTCAGAGTTGCCGTGGAGTAACTAAGCATTCCCGAAAGAAAACCTCAAAAGGAACTGAATTTGAAATTCATGCTGATTTTGGTTTTCTCAACAAGGATTTTGAATGGGTACCTGAATCCGAAGACAGTGAAACGGGGAATGTGAAGTTTCTTGTTATCCGTGAATCCTACAGTTCAAGCATTGGTTGTGTTCTTATGACTGGTGATCGACAGAGGGATAACCGCCAACTTCAGAAGTGGTTGTTTGAAATGGGTTTATGGGGTAGCAAGGACCAACATTCTCTGAGAGTAATCACAGATGCTGAATCTTCTGTTGGGAATTTCATTGCATCAGCAGGGTTGCCAATGGGTGTTGTGGTTGAAAGGGCACCACCACAAGGGCATCAAGCGAATGGGACTGCAGAGAGGACTATTCGGGAAATCAAAGAGAGTTTGAAAACGTTGCAGTTGGATTTTCAGAAGATGGGACATACTCTGGTTTTCAGTTCTCCAGTTTTGCAGTGCTGTTTGAACTACATTTGTTTTGCCCACAACAATTTCACGACTGTTCAGCAGTCCAGCCGAACTCCGAGAGACTTGGTGATTGGGGACACAGCCAAGAATCATGCTTTTGCACTGTTTGGATGTAAGGTTTTAGCTGAAGTTCCTGAATCCATCATTGCAAAGAATCCTAATTTGCCAAGGTTTGTCGAAGGGGTCTATTTGCATCCTGAGTTTTCGTCAATGGGAGTTTGGGTTTCTGCAAGAATCCGGTTATCCAGCGTTTTGTTGCCAAGTCAATCAAACTTTGCATGCCTGTTGAGATTCTTGATGGTCATGGTTTGTTTGTCAAGTTGGTAGATGAACGTAGTGGGTTACCAGAGGCTCCAAGGTCTTCAGAAGAGGTTTCTGTTCCTTTGCCAGCAGACTTGAAATGTCCTGCTACTGGTCCACCAGTGAAGTGGCTAGACGAGCATGGGGTGTCTTTGAAGTGTTCTGCTCGTAAGGAGATAGAAATTAGAGGGACCCGGGGGAATAAGAATCACTCTAGGGACTGTATGGAGCGGTATGAGAATTGGATACGTTCTGAACTCAACCTAGGCAAGGGCTCTGAGCCTTCTGATAGTAGACTTAAGGTTGAACAGGAGGTGAAAAGTGAAGGGTCTGGCAAGGAAGTCTCTGTTCCTAGTGGTGTTCCTTTGACCCGTCAAGGTGCCTTGGATTCTTTCGAGGAGCTTGATCCACTTGCGTTTGACCCACAGGATGATGTGTTGACTGGACCAGCCGCTGAACTTAAGAGTGAACCAAAGGTTGAATCCCAGGAGCCGGTGGATGTGAACCTTGGGGGTGGGGAAGGGAGCACGTCCCAGGCTGGGAGTTCTTCTCAGTCTGGTGGTGTTTCTCGACCTGATTCCCTTGGTAGCTACCCTAAGGCATCTGTTGGAGTCAAGCGAAAATGGTCAGAAGAGGATCTCATGATTGAGAAAAGAGGTCTGAAGCGGGAACCTGATGTGGAACTTGCGGAATTGGATCGGGAGGTCAGGGATGACAACAAACGTATTGATGTAAAACCTGACATTGCTGGACTTGTGTCTGGCTTGACATGTGATTCCTCGTTGTCTGAGACCCCCATCAATGACTTGCACGAAGTGTATGCGTTGGTTTTCTCACAACTGACTCGGATGACCTCATTTGTCACTTGCCTCTTGCTTCGTTGACGTTTGACAAGAATGCCTCCAGTTCTGTTGTTTCGTTTGGTGACAAGCGTATTCGGATCTGGTGTCCCAGTGGCTCCATTGATGATTCAACATTGGAGGAGTTGCCTGGTGACTTGACTCTTGAAGGTATGAAAACTGAAATAGGCAATTTGGATTGCATGCAATGTGGTGACTTGATGACTGAGTCCGAGATCGGTGAGTTGAGGAAGCAATGCAGGGTTATTCCATCTCGATGGGTGACTACTCGCAAGAACGCGACTTTGGTTCGTGCTCGGATTGTCTTGAAAGACATTGCAAAGGGTGCTGAATCAGCCCGGTCACTCTTAATGTACTTGTTTCATTAGTGTTTTAATCAATGTAATGCTTCATTACATTTTGGCTCAAGTAAGCATTCATCTAATTTCAAGCATGTGGAAACGCATTTTCCATCAGCACTGGGTTCACGTGGCATCAAGTCGTTTTTCTACCGTTTTGGTTTTCGCTTCTTTGGGTTTTTGCCCTGCTTTTCCCCGGGGGGGGCTTGTTTTATCCATGTGTTCCCAGCATTTTGACCCACCTTTCAAGCTATTTTCACAAGACAAAGTTTTGTTACTGTTGTGCATGTCCTCTATTTACCTGGGGCGTCGGCCTGATGGCAGCAGCCTGATTTTGGCGAGACACCACGGCATTCCCACACGTGTGGGGACGGCACTCTTTCGGTCAGTCTTTTTTGCACTGGGCCCAGACCGTCGCATTCGCATCTGCATTTTGATTCATTTAGGCCCAGGGGATTGGAGACAGTTGAGAAACTCAAACGCCAGACTTCTTTTGCTATTTGAGTATTCATCAGCATCAGCAGTACAATCTCCTCCAGTTCAACGCGTGCAAGCCCCAGGAACTCCACCAGTGTCGAGTGGTCCATCAGTATCTAGTGATTCACCGGTTTCATCAAGTGGCAGTTCAAATGACTCCCCATGAAACAGACTGGATTTTCATCCCTGCGACTCCGAAATCAGAGCCACTGGCCAGACCGACTTTAGGGACAATGCCCAACAGACCCAAATACAAGGGTCCGCCTCTCCAGTTTGGAGGACTGCCTGTCCCTTCAGCCAGGCCCATGCCGAAATCAGTATCACGAGCGAATCCCATGATTGCGGATGTAGATCACCAACAGGTTTCAACAGTTTCACAGCCAGCCGTTTCACCTAAGCCGATTCCAATTTTTGGCCAGCAAGTCAAACCACCTGTTTCCAGAGGAACTGCATGCAAGGTTTCACAACAATCAGATCTCCTTCGAATTCAATACCCTTCCAAATCTGCTTGGCTGGTTCAGGAGTGGAGAAGCATCTTGCTTCAGCTGGGCCCGGATTCATCAGTTTTTCAAACGCTTGAGCAGTCGGACCACCCAGAGGCACACGCCGCTAGATTGTTGGACCAATTTGCCGCTTCAACATTACTGAGATATTTTGCAGCTTGGCAGAGTTTCTGCAATACAGTCCACAGCTTGAAATTGTCGATCACCGACATGTCGGAAGCTCAACTTGCAGATGTTTTAATCACTACTTCCCCCAGCAAACGATCTGATTGCAGTGCAGGCAGCCACATAACCATCAAAGCCATCCGATGGGTGGCCACTCATGCTGGAGTACAGGGGTTGAGACATGCATGGAGCCCCTTAATTGACAGTTTCCTGCGCAGCAGAATCCCGAAGGAGCTCAAAGAGGCATTGCCGCTTTCGCTGTACACAGTTTGGCAACTTGAAAGACGGTTACTCATGTCCGCTTGCAGCACAGTGGAAACAGTGATCATTGGTGCCATTTTCATTTGCATGTGGTCGGGCATGCGTTTTGCGGATGCCCAAAGATGCAGTTACCATTCTTTTTGCTTTGATGGAACATCCTTGCGAGGCAGCTGCTGGCGGACAAAGACATCCAGCCGCGGACAACCCTGGGGCCTGCTGGCATCAGGTTTCATGTCATTGGGAACATTCAACTGGGTTGAGAAATGGTTGACTACCATGGACAACCTTTGGCATCAAGCCAAATCCACCAATTTAGATATGCCGACCCCGGACTTTTTGTTTTCCAAAATTAGGGACCTCTGGAATTGAAATTCCGTGGACGCCGATGACCTATGCGGATGCCCTTGCATGGTTGAGATATGCCACAGCCCTTCCATGGAAGTCCAGCACTCAGCAATCCATTCAATGGACTGCACACTCCATGAAAAGCACTTTGCTTGCATGGGGAGCACAGTTGATCGCAGAAGGGAAAGTCACTCCGGAAGAACGCATGCTTCAGGGGCATCATAGGCAGGGTACCAGCAAAAGCCTTCGCATTTACAGTAGAGACGACGTGCATGGTCAATTATCTTTTCAGCAGAAGGTCATCGATTTTGTCAGACGAGGTGGACGATTCAGGACAGCTCAACACAGAGGGGCCCAACACCCAATGGATGAACCACCCATCCAAGCTGAGTTTTTTCGCAAAGAGTCATTGTTCCCCCAATGGAAATGTTTCCAATTTACAGCCACCTCAGTCGAGACCTCAGCAGTTGAAGAGTTGCCATGCGACACCACGGAATGGATTGATTCAGAATCGAGTGATTCCAGTTCCTCCTCATCAGAGGATTCCGATGCAGCTGAGCCCAAACCCAATGTAAGCAAGAAGCCTAAAACCACAGCTCATGTCGACGCCGCTGATGAAATCCTGGTAGGTTTTGTCACCAACGTGCAACACGCCATGTTGCCCACGACGGAAGACTGGAAGCCCTATCATGAGGGCAAACATTACCAAGCAGCCTGTGGCGCTAGATTGGATTCCGACAGAGTCCAATTCTCCCGAGACCTCGAGCAAGGTCGATCGCTATGCCAGCGACCGGCATGCATGAAAGCTTGGAAAAGCAGCCTTCTGTAGATCAGAACATCGGGCCGCTTGCCCCAAAAATCCAACCATCGGATGATGGCGCGTCGAGACCAAAAAACTCATGCGTGGGGGCCGGATGGCCAATTCAGCTGCCACCAGACATTTCAGCATGATCAAGCGTCTCATGTGCAGTTTGCGATTGATCGGTTTTTTTTTTACATGTTTGGCAAGTTTCTATTTTTGAAGTGTAGTCTTTTTCTGTCAGTACTTGTCACGCTCATTTTTCATCACACATGATAGCACGCTTTCATAGGCTGACAGCTCAAATCAATCCCATTTGAATCCAGCGACCACTGCCAGGGGCCCCTTTTTTCTGATTGAGGATGCAGGTGCACCCATTGCGCATTGTCCATAGCTGATGGCTCAGCTCAACCGACAACAGTCATCCCCTTCAAATCAGGTCATGCGACATTGTCTGCACCATGGTAACCAAATTGTTTTGGCAAACAAGGGGGGTGGTTTTTCTCTTAACCCAACATTTACTCCTTGACCCCACAACATGGTGTCAGGTTGCACCACTTGAACATGCGTTTATTTAGGTCTTTGCTTTCAACTGCCATTTTGGCATTCCGTGCCTTTAGTCATGGATGACTCACTGGATACGATTCTGGGAAATGCAGGAGTTGACCCAGCCCTGGCATCAAATCTGGTTTCAGATGGATGGACAGTGACGTCCTTTCGAGAAATCACAGCTTCGCCCTCAGATTTTACGGATCAGGTGTTTGCAGAACTATGCCATGATGTTAGTCTGTCCCTGCTTCAGAAGTCTTGCATCAAGGGAGCCTGGCGCAGTCTCCAGGCACCTCCAAATCCGGAAGCCCATGCACCAGCAGGCACATCATCAGCTGCCGGGACACCCTCGGCGACAGACAATACATGGTCGGAATCATTCCCACCGAAGTTGACCAGTTCAACCGTATCCCAATTGAAGATGAAGTTCTGTACCAATTTTCCGTCGGAGGTTGTCACTCCGGAGACCCAGCCAAGTGCCCGATTACTGGCGCTCGCGTTTCAGTTGCACCAAAAGAAAGAGTACAAGTGGTTGCCCTGGAAATACCGAATGTCAGTAGCTCGATCCGAAGAGATGTCCTTGGGTCGAGCTTCCAAAGCCCCGAGACTGGAGAACGTTCAATTGCATCAATTACTCATCGATGAGATCCCCTCCCTGGAGATCACCAACCAAAACCTAGGCTTGAATGCAGTGAACCGTATGTTTGATTTGCACAACTATGCATGGGCCATGGTTCAGGCGTGCCACCTACATAGGCTACGCTCTTATAGCTTGAAGTTCATGTCTTTTCTGTCAGTGCGACTGGATGCAGAGAGCGGTTTGAGAGCGCCATCCATTCTCGAAGCCCAGCATGCAGATAAGCACATTTGGCACCAGATTGCGGAACTATGTGAGTCACCGGAATGGACATTGGATGATGCATTGCTTGAGTTTACTCAAAATCGGGGGGATTTGGCTGCCTTGCTCCAGCCTAGGCCAAAATTGACCAAGCCTACACCTCCTCCAAGCAACACACCATTCAAAGGTGGCAAAGCTGCCAAATCATCAGGCAAGGGGGGAAAACCCTCAAAGGGAACTGGCAAATCGTCGGTTCGTTGGGTCTGGAAGGGGTCCCAAAAGAAAACCCTGTGTATGAGATATCAAACAGGAAAATGCTCCAACAAAGATTGCAGGTATGAACATGCATGTGGTTACCCTCGTGCAGACGGTACGGCATGCGGGGCAGCTCACCCTGCCATAGAGCACGACAAGACTCCGCACTGACTTACGCAGCAGAGTCCATCAGTATCACATCCCAATGTGACAATCGCTCAGTTTAAGCTTAGCGATGATCCTCTTCTTGAACACCAACAAGAGGACAGGTCCTTGGAGTTTCCACCCACGCATTTTGCGTCAGACATGCAGGCAAACTCCGCCTCACCAGGTGCCACACCTCAACAGGATGCCACGGTCGAGGAGATCACAAGCATGGACACTGGAGACATAACCACGGAACATCAACACACACAGCTTTCACAGACCACAATACCATCAGCCTTGTACAATGCGAGTCAAGATTTGCTCACTCCATGGAGTTGCACGGGTACAAAGATTTTCCTGGACATTTGCAGCGGAGCAGACTGCCCTCTTTCTACAGCAGTCAGGGCGATGGGGCTTCCAGCTCTCTCCATTGACATTTTACTGGATAGCCGCATGGATCTGTTACATGATCAATTCTACGAACAACTACTGAGGTTAAGCGGCTCCGGAGTCATTGGCTATGCAGCTGCATCGCCGTCTTGCACTGAGTACAGTTTACTCAAACTTCGGCCAGGTGGGCCGAGAGCAATCAGGACACCAGATATGATGCAAGGCATTCCTGATTTATCTCCTGCAGAACAACAGCGCCTTCAAGACAGCGCTACACTGTTAGATCGATCAGTTAATTCGGTCCAATGCACCTATGTAGCTGGCGGTCATGGCCATGTCGAGCAACCCTCAGGTGCGATGAGTTGGCGCGAACCATCCACGCAAAATTGGATTCAGATGGCCAACTGCTGCCTAATTCTTTTAGCAGCCTGTGCTTTTGACTGGGACATCAGGAAGACATGGTTATTTGCATCATCTTTCGAGCCTCTATCGGCCATTGCAGCAGTTTGTACCCATGCACAAGGTGCCCACAAATCCATTGCAGGTACAAAGGACGAACATGGTATCTATTTGAGCAGGCGTTCCGCAGCATACCCAATGAAATTAGCAGAAGCTTTTGCACAAAAAAATTCAGTTTTACTTTCCCCACTCAAAGATGATATCTCGTGGGATTCAGCGTTTTCACTTTTTCCCCACAAAGATTGGTTTCAAGATCCCAAAAGTTTTGTGGATGGGGGAGGTTTGCAATCATCCCCAGACTGGTCCAGACCCCCAGCAGACAAAGAGAACATCTTTCGATCGGTCCGGGATTTTTGGATTCCCAAAATTTTACAACATGATTTACATAAGTTTATTGTGGGGCATTTCCAGCGGCAACAAGTAGATCCACCATTTTCCGAAGACCTGGTGCAACAATTCCGTGCATCTCTTGACACATTGCTGCCCCTCGACAAACCGCTCGATTGGCAAGTGCGTGCAGATCAACCGCTTTGTTTGCATGCCCTTCAAGCCATTAGCCATCACATGAATGATCCGGATCGAAATCTTTTTCCAGCGCTTATCGAAGGAGTTTCCACTGGGTTTCAAGACAACATTGCTCCTTCAAATGTATTTGCAGCCAAACCGCCCACCAAGGAACCAGCGCGACCAGATTTGTCCGTCCACTGGACAAACTGGCAGACAGCAGAATCCCAACCAGAACTCACGGAGGAGCTGGTCCAAGAGGAAATTGAAAAAGGATGGCTGATTTGTTTCCCTGGAAACCTTGAGGATGCCAAACGTGAATACCCCCTTGGCGTTGCAGTGGGGAAACTTTCAATTGCCACATCGGACACCCGTCCACCACGATTGGTAGTAGACTTTACAGTTTCAGGCACCAACCACAATTGCGATATACCTGAGCATCAACAACTGCCATCTGCAAAGGACGTAGTACGTTCATTCCCTCTTCGTGGTCATAATGAGGAACTGGGAGCCATGGGACTTGACGTCCGAGCAGCTCATAAACTTTGTGTACTTCATCACAGTCATCGAGGCCTAGTAGGCTTTTCGTTCAAAGGGCGGTTGTATTTCTACAAAGTATGTCCGTTCGGAGCCCGATTCAGTGCGTGGTGGTGGGCCAGACTTGGCTCATTTTTTACAAGGCTCATCCATCAGTTTATTTACACAGCCCATGCTTTGTTCCTATTCGTTGATGACTACTTACTGGTCCAACGCTTGGACATTTTACCCATCACAGCAGCACTAGTAGCTTTACTGGTTCAGGCATTCAGACTTCCCATCAGCTGGCGCAAAGCAGAACTACACAAGGAAGTCAATTGGATAGGATGGACATTTAATTTTTCAATCGGTCAGGTCAAATTGCAACAGAGCAAACGGGAAAAACTACAACGATTGATCCGGGAGCTTTTGACCCATCCGAAAACCTCCAAAAAGACCATTGAAAAGTTCATTGGACTAGCACTTTGGATCACGCAGCTTTTTCCCCTAATGAGAGCTTTCTTGCACCACTTCTATACAGACTTATATAAGGCACCTGGCACATCATATTCAATCGACCCTGGTTTTTGGCTCACCACATTGTCATGCCTGAGCCCAGACCTACAATTTACCTCTCGGCCCATCGGCACAGCTATACCTGAAGGCGGGAAATTACTGTCAGTTCGTCACCAACCGGTGGCTACCTTGGAAGATGTCCGCAACTGCCGGTTATCAGAAAAACGGATTTGGGTTCGCATCATGGACCCTTTGTCGAACAAAAGATCGATCAGCAAGGACTCTCAAAGAATATTGAACATGTTCTCAACCTGGCTTCAATATTCAAATCCGATAGTTTCTATGAACCCTAAATTACCTTGGGCTGGCGAAGCAGCTGCAGATGCCTGTGCAGATAAAGATCATTGTCAGATCGGAGGATTCCTCAGATTTGCCAATGGTGACTTACGCTGGTTCAGCGAAAAATGGATAGCATCCGTTTTTCACCAACTAGAAATTCCAGTTTCATCAGACATGCAGAAAGATATCAGCAGCTACGAGACATTAGCCCAAATTTGTCTCTTGTATTCCCTATGCAGCTTACTACCATCCCAGCGATTTGCACTCACATTAAAAAGCTTAAGTGATAACACAGCAGCAGAATCCACCTCAAACTTTCTCTTCACCACCAAAGCTCCATTATGTTTCTTTGTCGAAAAACTTTGCCTTTTATCTTCCGCAGTCCATGCACAATTAGACGTTTCACACATCCCGGGATATGCCAATGAGTTGGCTGACATGATCTCCAGAATGAACCTGGAGGAGCCCTTGCCTCCCAGCCTTCAAGCATCCGACCGCATCCGAATTTCGTTAGATCAAATTTGGCACCCGACCAAAGCAGTTTCGATTTTCCCAAAGGGATCAACCGTTTCATGGCCACTTCCGTAACCTCCAGTTTCCATTGCCAGTCCTTACCTCACACTTTTATTAGAGGGGGTTATTGGGGCATTCAGTAAGTCCTGGTTGATAGAAATATTTGGGTGAAATGCAACCATCAACCATGACATGCTGCTGATGTGGCACAGCCACATATCCAACTGGCAATGAAAAAAGAGAGATGCGCGATTCGACCAGAGATACATCACTCCGTTTTTCCCATCGATGTTTTTATGTTAGTTTATATTGGTTTATTTTATTGTTGATTTTGGTTCTTTTTATGTTTGGGGTGATTGGCTCGAGCTTCTAATATGTAGCTAATGAATGCTTACTTGTTAGAACTCTTAATGTACTTGTTTCATTAGTGTTTTAATCAATGTAATGCTTCATTACATTTTGGCTCAAGTAAGCATTCATAATTTCAAGCACCCACCCTCCCTCACCTGATTCTAAGTGTTAATTACCGCATTTTCTATGCTCGGTTTTACTATTGCTTCTCAATATTCAGGTGGGGGAATCATAATATGTCAGGGATTACGCACTCATGTCTCCTGCTACTTGGTTTTTCATTTGTCATTGGTATTTTCCCAATTGGTTTGCTGTTTCATTGCTGTGGGTTTCCCTTTTCATTCGGTTGGAATGTGACTCACGAGTGCAGTTCCCTTGCGTGCGATTTCCAATTTCATCCGCTGAGCGACGAACCAACGCATCCGACTATTTCCAATGGGCATCCGATCCAGCATGATCATTTAGTCACGTGGCAATACTCCGGCCACTCACCCAGCAACCATCCGAGTGCAATTCATGGACGACCTGTCCTTTCAGCATCCGTTGCGTTGTGCATAAGCGAAGACATCCATGTGGACCACATTAAATCATTCAATTTGGTCCTCTCATTCCTGGGCTGTTAAAAAAAAAACAAATCCACATGGATTCGACGTCTAGCCTGAAGGGCTTGACCATTAACCTCTCTACATGGGATGGGTGAAATGCAACCATCAACCATGACATGCTGCTGATGTGGCACAGCCACATATCCAACTGGCAATGAAAAAAGAGAGATGCGCGATTCGACCAGAGATACATCACTCCGTTTTTCCCATCGATGTTTTTATGTTAGTTTATATTGGTTTATTTTATTGTTGATTTTGGTTCTTTTTATGTTTGGGGTGATTGGCTCGAGCTTCTAGTATGTAGCTAATGAATGCTTACTTGTTAGAACTCGGAATATCGTCACCCACTCCCTCGAGTGAAGCGTTGTTTGCCATGTTATGCTCTGCTGGTCAACGAGATTGGTTGGTTGGGGCAGATGACATATCGGCGGCCTTCATGGCCACGCCGCTACGTTCCCGGAATGTGATTGCCAAGTTGCCTGCAAGCATCACTTCTATGACAGGGGAGGCGTTGTACCTATGGCTGAGTAAAGCCCTGAATGGACTGAGGAGTGCCAGCCAGGAGTGGAATGTGTACTTGTCGTCGATTGTTGATAAGTGCAGGTTGCGTTCTTGTGGTTTGGAACCTTGCTTATACAGCGGTTTGTTGCCTTCCGGTGAACCATGCATGATTCTGTCATATGTTGATGATTTGATTTGTGTTGGGCCATCGGTTGATGCAATTGACTTTGTCTTTGATACCGTTGGGAAAAGTGTGAGGTTGAAAAGAACTGGTTTGATACATGATCATTCGAAAGGGGGACAGTTGAGGTTTTTGGGAAGGCTTATCACTAGGAGGCGTGGTGAGAAGTCTTTGTTGATCTCACTTCCATCTAACTACCTGGATGACACGTTTGCCAGTTATCAAATCAAAACAAACGCCAAAGGTCCACCTGACGTGACTCCGGTCATCGACAGAGACGGTGGTGAAGAACTGAGCATTGATGCTTATGCACGGTTTAGAGTAGCTTTGGGTAAGGTTTCATGGATGGCCCAAACTCGTGGAGACTTGCGTGCATGGATAGGTATCCTAGCGACTCAGCAGTCAAAGCCAAATCAGTATACGGAACATGCCATGCGTATGCTGTTAAGATACCTTAGAGGTGACATGAATGTTGCAGTTAGGTTTCCAAGTGATTCACCGTTGTTGCACTCAGAGGTTTTTCAGGGATCCCACATTGTTGCATTCTCGGATGCGTCTCACGCTCCGTTGAAAGCGACCGGACGTCGTGGAATTTCAGGAGGTGTTCTGACTTTTCAGGGATGTACGTTGAAAACGTTGTCCAGGCATCAAGCTCTGGTATCACTGAGCTCTATGGAGAGCGAGCTGTAAGCACTTCAGAGTGTGAGTCAGGAGATGGTATCTATGGGAAAGATGCTTGGGAGAATCCTGTTTTCCTTCAAGGAGATTGATTCCAGTGAGATTCCAGGAGTTCTGCGAACTGACTCTGAGTCGTCAATCAAACTGTTGAGGGGTTACTCAATGCAAAGCAGTGATGATCCCTTTATATGAACCGAACAGAAAAATTTTTGCGTGGCAAAAATTAGGCTGAAATCTATCTGACATTGACCATGAACACAAACCCTTTTCCTGAAGATGTCTTCAACAAACATGCAGACTTTCTTTTTGTTTCTCTCAGAAAAACACTGAGGTGCACGTAGGACACGTGTTTAAATGTTTTTGTTTTTGTTTGGAGAAAATCTCATGAAACAAAAACAAAACCAAACTGCGGAACTATTCAGTATGTATGTTGCCGCGCTCGCCTCAAGAAAGGGTGGGTGGTGTGGGATCCGTCTTGCTTTTTCGGCGAGATTTAGCATGGGGGATTAGGTAGTGCCATGGTTACAGCCTGTTTGGATGAACACTGTTTCATGGATACAGCCTGTTTGGATGAACACTTGTTTGGAGAAATCAGTCATGAAAGGACAGAGGCAGATGTTGAACAAAACCTTCATCTGGAGGCGTTTGTGACTGGTTTTTGAAAGTGGCTCTATTCGTTATGCCCCCTCGCTCGCCAAGACGGACTATGCAGGTTTTGCCGGAGCAAAGTTTGGATGCCGATCTGGAATTATCCAGGGATTACAACACTGCTGCAACAGTAGGTTCTGCTTGGACAAGTTTACAATTAGACATTCCAAAGCTGCCGTGGGAACATGATTTCTGGAGCGGGTTTTTGGACCTCACAAAATCTGCAATGGATCTTTTTCACAAGGGTTACAAGCGACCAATGCCTTTCCATTTCGAGGGAAATGCAACGGCATCGACTGAATCGGAAGCAGAGCGCAGGGTGGTCTCAAAGAGCTTTTCAGGGTTGCAGAGTTTCATCAAGCACATCAAAGATGTGACTGAAGAAAGCTGGCAAGAAGAGAGAGACGCTTTGTGGTAGATCGCAATACGCAGATGGGTGGCTGTTTCGGATGTTTGTGAGGCAGGAGATGTCCTATTGCTTCACTCGTTGCAGTCCAAAACACTTTTACGGAGAAAGCGCAAATCCTGGTGGATGTTTGCTACAACAAGGCTCCGCACACCTTGATGAAACGTGTAAACAGCTTATCAAGATGTGTCACAGTTTGACAGTCAAGGGTTTACTTTTTCCATGCAGTGGAGATGAATTCTATCAGTACCTGAAGTTAGAATCTCAGAATGGGGCTCCATCGTCGAGGCCGAAGGCTTGTTTTGAGGCTGTCGTTTTACCAGACATGTGCTTGGAATGGATGCTTTACAGTCACGGGTCAATAGCAGACGTTGTTTTGGAGCAGCTTCACAGCAGGGCCCCACATGTTCACGTCAGGATTCACCTTTCAAAGTGTTGCAAATGAAAAAGTTGCATGACATTTTGCGTGAAGGACAGGAAATCTGGGATCGTGCAATGGCAGGGATTTTGTTGTTCTGAATATATGGCCAGGCCAGGTGGTCGGATGCCCAGCATGCTGAAGAGTTAATGCCTGATTTGAATGAACAGGGTAAAGTCATGCGTTTGGAAGTAAGGACAACTGTACACAAAACTGGAAGTGCCTTTCATTTGCGTCACAAGTTTTTGCCGTTGTCAGAGACTGCAACTCGTGTCACATCCGACGCATGGGGAGCTCAGTGGTTAGAGGTCAGAAGATTTTGTGCATGAGGACATGAAACAGTTTCCGCTCATGCCTGCACCAAACATTTCTTTGGATGCCACAAAAAGGCCTGTGTCAACGCACGAGGCAAGCTGTGGATAGGACACCTTCTTGGTTCAGCAAAACATTGGAAAAGCAGAGTTTACAAGCCACTCATGCAAGTGTACTTGTTTTTCATTTCTTGCCAAACGAGGTGCATCAATCGCAGATCGTTGGGTCTTGGGCTATCACCCGAACAAGATGCGTATGGCCTTGACCTATAGCCGGTATAGCATTGCACGTCCACTGGCACTTTTATCACATGTGTTGATGGAGATACGGACTGGAGTGTTTGAACCTGACAATTCAAGAAGGTGGCAGGTTGAATCCAGGTACAGTTTCATTGGACAAAACTGATTTCTTTGCAACCATTCTTGAAGCTCGGACGGAGCAGTCAGCCAACTTGCAGACCGCAGAGGGAGATGCAGAGAGCCCAGATCTAGGATCGTGGAACTTGGTTCAAGCTGCTGATGCCCCCAAGGTGCAGGGGACGGACATGTCACCACGGACTTAGGTGACTCATCAGACGAAGGAGTCCAGATCAGTCCAGTAGTTGGGCATTACACGATTTCATTGCCAGAAGACAAGCCGCTGTGGTTAAACCAGAGCTCATGGATGTTTCATTTGACTCGCAAGGAATATAGAAACGTATTACTTTGCGGAAGAAGAGTCAGACAAAATTTCCGACAACATGAGGGCCTTGTCAGGTACGACTCTGCAAAATGCAGAATGTGCTGCAGGCTCAAAGACAGCTAAGGCGCCTGAACTTGCGACAGACCAAAAACAGGTGCAGCTGTACGGACCTCATTTGTAGCAGTTTGATTGATCAACATTTCATGACTGTGCATAATGCAGCATGTTTCAATAATCACATGAAAGATTGGCATGACAAGTTTGGCGAAGAGAACATCGAGGAATCGACTGAGT